AAAAAAAAAAAAAGAAAGAAAGAAAGAAAGAAATTAGCCAGTCATTTATTGACCACTGTACCAAGCTATTTTACGAAATTTTAAGAACATTACTGTACATTTAGAGTCTCCAATTTTAAAAAACAGGCCTGGACACAGGAAAAGGGAAATGTAATGAAACCTTCCCAGACTTCACAGATTTAAAGCTTTCCCCCTAGTTTAATCCTACACACCAAGATGGTGTGAATAGGCTCTTAATTTAGCAATAGAAGGCAGGATAGTGTGTACAGTATTCTGGGGAAATCGAGTTTAGAATTTTGCATGTTTATCTATACTGTGAACATAGGTAAATTTCTTTGCTAAATTTACCTCTATCTAAATTCTTTAATATGGATAACTGGTTTTTTTGCAATTTATTGCAAAATTTATTTACCATAATTTTACACGTTTTACACTACCTATCTCAATATTAGATAACAAAGTTAATGAAGTTGACTTTCAACTGCAAGTTGTGGCATAAGAAAACAGTGTAAAGTCTAAATACTCTCTGTAATTTACTGCCCTCATGGATAAGCAAGACTCAGATGTGATCCCAGCACAAAGGTCTTTGGGCAAAACTGGGGAGAAGGTGATTGTAATTCTCAAAGGATGTGAACTCCCACAAGTCAGCAGGTCTGACTCAGCATTCAGAACAAATTGACGACCAGGGTTCTAGTCCTAGCTACGACTCTATCTTTGCTACTATAAACAAAGCAATGTCCATAATTTAAAAATCCACTTCTCTACTCTTACTTTAATCTAACAAAGGAGAGAGACAAGTCCACTCCTCTTAGAGGTAATTTCCCCGAGATGCACTAAGGATGCCTCCAAAGCGCCTAACCTGTGCCCTGGAACCACCACTAAGGGACCTGACCGGTCCTATCACCCTTTAATCTTATGGAATCCTTTCAAAGCAAGGGCAGAGGACCCTCAAACTGGAAAGGTCTACACATTTACTTTAGGAGTAATTAAGATCAGCTGTGTATACCTGCAAGGGACAAAATAAAAACGCCCACGGGTAACCATAGCTGAGTCATCGACATGCTCCCTCTAGCTAAGCTTAATACCAAATAATCGGTACAGAAATTTACAATTAACACCGCCATTCCCAACCCCGCCAAAAAAACAAAAACAAAAACAAAAAACCCCTTGTACAACTGAGTTTCGCACAGCGCGAAGCAACATGGTGTCGCACAATAAGCATTGCATGGCTGTGTGGCTGAACTTACCGCTCTCCAGGAGTCCAGTTCTCTACGCTGTGATAAGGGGAAAGGCAGGGGAGGGGAGGGGGTTGAAAAGACGGCCCCTTCCGTCTCCGACGTTCAACAGAGTCCAGGGGTCAAGGAATCCCAGACCCGCAACGGGCAGGGGACCTTGCGCCGTCCCAGCGCCGCTCTCCCCCAGCACAGGCAAAGCCTGGCCCCTCCCGTGAGGTTCGAGCGCTCTCAGAGACACCTCCCCGCCTGGGGGCGCGCCCGAAACAACGCAGTCTCTTTCGCGGGAAAAACTCGCTCCGGCAAGCCAGATGCCGCCCCCGACCCAGCAAGGCCCCGCGGCAGGCCGGGGAACCACAAGCCCTGGGAGCGGAGGAACCACCTCGCTTGCGCGCCAGCCGCCCCGGCCCCCGCGGCTGCGGGCCCCACCAGGACAGCGAGCGTTTGAGCGGCGGGGCAAACCGGGGGGCGCAGGGCGAGCGAGCGGAGAGGGCCCGGTAGGGCGGCCTCCTCAGGCCTTTTTTCGTGCTTCCACGCCCTCCACACAGAGGCCCAGGGAAACCCGGCGGATTCCTCTCGCCCGCCCCCCGCACTCACCCATCGCCGTGGGCGCCCGGCTCCACGCCCGGTAGCCGCTGGCCGGTAGACCGGCAGCCAGCGAGCCTGCGCAGGCGCAGACCTAGACCGACCCCTGTGCGCAGGGCGTAGTGTGACGTGCTCTCCGCCGCCTGAGCCCAATCACGTGAGAGAGGCGCCGCCGCAACGCCTTTCCTCTAAAACCGCTTGGAGTCGGGTGACGCCGACCAATTCCTGGCGTCCGTTCGCCGTCTCCGGGCAGGTATGGGGTCACCCAATACACCTATCGTAAAGCATTGGGGCTCCACTAGCCAGAACACCGTACCCTTGGCACCGTACGGTGGCCTTGTCGTGCCACAAACAGCCAACGCTTTCTCTGGTATGAAGCCTGCAGGAGGACCAATGGGAATTGATGGTTGTGAGTGGCAAGCAGGTGAGCTGAAGATTTGAAAGTGCCCTACCTAGCCCCGCTTTCTAGCCTTGGTTAGTTTCATCAAACCCTCAAAGTGGCCTTCTGTCAGCTACCAATACCACAGTTTGCAGAAGAACACCTGTGTGTGCTTTAGGACCTATGAATCATTTTTAAACCTGTTTCCTTTCAAACTCAGACAATTGGGAGGTCTTGGACTCTACTGCAACTGGCATTTAGGAGGCCTAGATCAGGTCATAGTCCTGACACTCCCTGGACAAGTCAGTGGTCACTGAGCCCCAAATCCCCGTCTGAAAAGGAACAACTGCCTTGCATGCATCTCTTGGCCCTTGTAAGAATTAGTGGGAATAATGGTCTTATCTAACTTATAGACTGGAAGACATGCAGCAGATGTGAAGGCTGCAGGAAACGGAAAGGTCAGCCTGGAGAAGAGTGGCAGCTCATCAAATACGTGAAATGTATGCACTTGACTTGGAGTTAGGCCAATAGGCAATTCTATTGGAGTGAAGCATTAGTCAGGAGATCCGCTCTAGGTGGGTGGCTTTCCCTGAGAGCTCTTTGTAGTTATTGACTTCAAAATTTTGTTTGGTCTGCTCGAGCTGGCCTGTTTAACTGCTGCTTGGGAGTGTGGGAGACCATGCTGCCTAATTTCAGCAAACACTTTACCAAGGCACCTACTGTGTGTCACTGTCCATGCCTAAGTCGAATGAAGGACATAAAAACAAAAGACTGGAAATTCAGAAGCATGAGGTGCCTTTCCCCTGGAGAGAGAACCAGGAACGGCTTCCTAGGGTAGGAGGTGTTTGAACTGGGCCTTGGAGGATGAATGTGTGGAATCTGGACTTGTGGAAAGAATCATAGTGCAGGAGATAAGGCTGTAAAGGGCAGGCAGTGGGATCTGAGAGTGCAAATCCTGACTGTGGGATGCAGGCACCTAACATGTAATTAGGTCACAGAGGTAGATTTTTGGACTCTAGAGGATAATGGCAAGGCCACACAGTGGTTTGGAATGCTTAATTGGGCAACAGTTGGGGAAGGGCCTTTATCTCAAAATTATATATGTTTGCCCTGTTTTGTGTGAATTCCTATTCTGATGTATTATTTGAAAAATACATCAGGCAGGCATCCAGTGTGTGCAGAAGCATAAATAATTCATTTCAAATAGAACGGAGAGGTTAGTCTCCTGTGGCAAAACCTGAAAAGGAGGGAAAGATTGAAATTAAATACACAATTGGGGCACCACAGACTCAGCAGAGTGAGGAAGTCCCAGGCCATCGGGAACACTCCTATCTGGAGCTGTGCCGGCCCCTTTTTGTTTTTTTTTAATGCTGCAGGCCACAATGCAGTCCTCTGCCCCTCCAGCCTTAATTCCTTGTCAGAAACCTAAGGCCCTTCCTTAATTGGCTCTTCTTGGGCATGCGAATGTTGGAAATCCAAACCCTCTAATTTTCTGATTCAGGATTCATCATCAAGTTAGCCTTTCATTTCTCTGTCCTCATTCTTTCATTTATTCTTCAGTCTCTTAAACTGCTCTCCATACCTCCAGTCTCCATATCAGCTGTCAGATTATATCCTCTAACCCAGCTTTGATCATCTCACTCCTCAACCTAATGACCTTCAATTTCCCTCTTCCTTCTCCAGTAAATTCAAATTCCTTAACTTGGCTCAAGGGCTGTCTGTGTCCTGGGCCCTCTGCCTATCAGCCCACCTCATCCCCAACTACTCGCACATTCTGTGCTTCGGCCACGTGCAGTTTCTCAAAGTTTTGCAAATCCTTGTGTTCTTTAAGCCTTTCCCCCTGCTTTCACCATGGAGTCTTCACTAATAAAACATGTTAACCCTTCAAGGCCCTTTGCCTCCTCCTCTGGAAAGCCTTCTCTTAACAACCCAGGCAAAATGGGCTGCTCTTGCCTTTGCCTTCCCATAGCACAACGTTTGGGGGCAGTTCTAACATTTTGCCGTATGTTGTAGTCATTCATGAAGGTGTCGCCCTTGCCCACGGCCAGCCCGCTAGGGCAGAGCTCTCTGACCTGTTTCTGGCCTCTGACTCAGTGCTTGGCAAAAAGAGTGCTTGCCCAAATAAAATACTGTTAGAGAGGGTCTGGGTTCTTGGGAAAAGGGATGTGGGAATGTTGCTGGTGGATCTTTGCTTAAGCACCCTGCACTCCCTTCCTCCCTCAAATGCTTTCTAGAAAGCTGTCTAGTGTCCTCAGACTCCATGGACCCTGATGTCCACAAAAACAGCTTTATGTAACCTGCAGTGTAGTGTCGCTACTGTCAGTGGCTCTGCCCAGATAAGGTCACCTGCAGTCATTCCCTAGCTAGGGTTCGGTGACCTTCCTTTCTCTTCGGCTCGCATTTCCCAGGCCCCTGCCACCCTCTGGGCCTATCTGTGCCACTCCCCTTTATATCTCCAGGCCCCAGCCTAGCACTGCTGGTTACCTTCTCTGAACTTGCTGCATTCTTTTACTGCGTACATTTTGTCCTCTTTGCCTGGACAGCCCTGCCTGCTTCATGACAAAGTGCTGTTCACCCTTCATTGCTCAGCGAACACAGAGGCTTCTTGCTGCTTTCCCTGACCATGACCTCACTACCTGACCCTGCAGAGCTCCCCCACGGTGCCGTTAGCCCTGCCGGCTCCTCCAGGTGTCCTTGAATTCCTTGTGTCCCTGTAGCTGGTCTGTGAACCCGGGAAGTGCTCCCTTTCTCCTTCGCTCATTTTCAAACCCACATTGATCTAGCCACACACATGATCTGCATATATATAACACGTATAACTGAGTCACAGGTTTTAGCCTACAAGCCTGTGAGATGGTCTATTCTATTCCATTTATGCATTAATTTATTTTCATGCTGGCGGAGACCCACTAAATCAGTGAATCTCAACCCTGTTTTACATCAGAATTATCTGGGAACCTTTAAAAACCAAATTTAAAAAAAAAAACAACCTGAGAGATGCTGATTTAATTAGTCTGCCGTGGGACCTGGATCTTAGTATGTTTTAAAAGCTCCCCAGGTATGCTGAAATTGCGAACAGCCCTAAATTCTTGCTTCCCCAGTGTGTCTAAAGATAAGAATTACCTGAACTTACCTGAGCAACCTGTGATCCTAGACCTACCTGCAGCATCAGTATCACCCGGGAGCTTGTTAAAAATGATTCTTCTTGGCCCGTGACCCAAGATTCCAGACTTAGTGAACTAGGATCTGCATTTAACAAGATCGTCAGGTGATTTATATGTACTTCACAGTTTGAAAAACTAGAGCCTAGGTCCTAGAAGGTTAAAAAAACCCAGATTCCCCAGTCTCAAATCAGACATGCTATGAAATCAGAATTTCCAGGGGAGAGGCCAGTTGGCCTGTCTATATTTATCACAAGCCCCAGGCAATTCTTAGGCAATTTTGGGGAACAACAGCTCTAAATTGATATCCTGAGCCATAATAGTGACCTAAAGTTTGAAACATAGAGGTCCGCAGCACTCAGGAATGTGTGAGCGAGTCAGCCTGCAGCCCAGAGGGGAAATGGGTCCGGACCAGTCCTAAGGAGAAACCATCAGCGCTTGAGACAGGCACATGCCATGTGCTATGAGTGTCCACAGGAGAGCAAAAATGCACTAGCTACCATCAGGGAAGGCTACCTGGAAGAGGTGACTCACAGAGCATGACTAGGATTTAAACAAGGTGGGCGCCAGTAAACGCTTCGGATGGGCAAGGAGCATGTAAGGAAGGAGACACCTGGATTTTCATTCTCCCCGACCTCGTTCCTGCCCCCCAACTTTGCCTTTGTCCCAGGCACACCTGCGGACAGAGCCTATGCATCTGGTAGCATTCAGGGCTCAGAACAGTTGCTGATCCCTAGGTGGGATCATGGGACACCTTACTTGGTATCTAAGTGACACATACTTGTGAAATACAAACATTTTTATCTAGCGAGGGCTGAATCAATGAAACAACATCAAACATTTGCACAATACTCTGGGTTTTCCAAGCAGTTACATGGTTATTCCCTCTGATTTTCACATAATTTTGTGTACTCAGAGAAGTCCTGTGACCTGCTTGAGTTTAGCACCTAGGAAGAGGTGAGGCTGGGACCCTACCAGCTCCACCATTTTTGAGAACAGAAGCACAGTTGAGTAGTTGGTGCCTTGAACTTGGGAAAAGGATCGGGTGAATGGTGAGCTGCAGGGCAGCAGGCAGACTAGACCTTGACCCAGGGTTCTTTTATCATAAGACACCCCTTAGGAACTTGTTACACATACAGGTTCCTGGCACCCACCCGAGACCTACTGAATCAAAATCTCAAGAGAGGAAAAGGCTTAGGAATTCATATTTTGCAAATTCACATGTGAACTTTACAATGAGGCAAGGTGGGAAACACTGAACTAGACACAGCCTGTTGCAAGGTCAGTGTACCTGGGTTTGAACTCTAGACCCACCACTTCCTAGATGGATACCTCCCCCTCTTTGAGCCTCAATATCTCCATCTTCAGAATAAGGGTCCTGTCTAGTGCCCCCCGTTTTGAGTCCCTGAGGGAGGCTCTCGAGGATGGCAGATCCCACATGACTGGAGGCTGTTTCTCCCACTTGGTGTGGAGGGGACCACGGATCTCAGGTACTTGGTCTCCCATAGATCTAAATGTCACCATTCTGTCTTGTTCCTGGGGAAGAAGGGACAATGTAGTTCTCTCCAGGACCTGCTCATTATGGGCTGTGAGCCTCCTCTGGGGTGTGAGATAGAGACTCTGAGCTCTGCGTCGCCACCGCTAAATCTAACTTCAGCTTTTCCTAGCAGTCACTTCACTTTCTGAGCCTTGATTTCTCATCTGCGCAACAGGGCTCTCAGCATGGGAGACCAATGCATTCGCAGGGTGAAGGTCACACAGGCCGGCGGTAAACGGGAACTTTTATCATTGTTACATCACTTAACAATAA